ATTTTGAAATATAATAATTATCCAGTAATAATTTTTATATTTAAATAGTACATTGTATAAGTGACAGGGAAATGGTATAATGTATTTAAATATCTATTTTACTTTTATTATCCCACAGTTACACATTTTCCACATTTATTTTTAAAATTTATTCGACTTAAGATACTTACGTTAGTAGTTTTTAACCTATTTGCACCGTAAAGATTTGTTTTATGTAATTAATAATTAAAATAACTACTGTTGATTATATATTTTTAGTTTTAAAATTGTAATTACTGTTAGGTACTTAGTTATATTTTAGTTAAACAGTTTGTGCAGTTATATAGACTTATCGTGATAATGAGTAAATAAAATAAAAGTTGTATTCTCATGTTAAGATTTAGTCGTAACTATATAATTTAAAATATATATTATACATTTATACATAGTGTAGGTATAAAATATAATATGCCCTATGCCCACTTATAGAAGATTCTTATCAATCATTATATGACTTTTATTAATTTTTTATTATCCATAGGATTTTATTTAATTATTAGTTTTATCTTTATACCACGTGCATTTCAAGCTACGGGTTAGTTCAATATGATAACTTAAAGTGATTGAAGATTGTAGGACACACAGGATCGTGGTAATTTAGAAGAAAGAAAGTAGAAACTAAATAAAGTTTATTCTCAATTTGGTTCAGTTATCTTAAGCCACTAATACTTCTAATTTTTTTCAATTCATTTTAATTAAAATTAATTATTTAAAAAAACATTTAAAAAATAATAATAAATTAAGTTGAAAATCTCATTAAAATTCTATGTTATTTGTAAATGTTGTTATCGCTAGGGATTAGAAAAAGAAACAATATTATTGCAATTGATTGTGGTTACGATGTGGAATATTTGAAATCGAATTGTTGAGCACGTTTTTGGCTTTTGAATACCAACACAATTGGGCGCTAAATTGTCTACACAAAATGTTATAATAAAATTCAACATGTGTTATGAATTTGTATTTAAGTTAAAAAAAAAAAAATAAACCATGTATGTTTTGAGTGTCCTGCAAATGAAAAAAAAAATAAATACAAATGTCTGAAAGTGTAAAAGCAAGATACTACTTCATTCTACGAGCTGAATTATTGTATGAAATACAATAAGTATCTAAATAATATATTTCATACTATTTGTTATGCTCTTGAATATTTCACATATTTACAGAGGGATTCCCTAAGCATACTCGCTCTCATTTTCCATTAACAATGAATATATTCAAATTATAATTTCTGTTATTTTTAAGTACATATAAAGGTCGTTTGTTTTCAAAAACAAATTTTTTATACGATTTAAGGGTTCTGTATCGATGTAAACTTCTCTTTTATAAAAAATATGCTTATCATCAATGGGCCATTACCCATTTTTCTTATATATTGGTAAACGGATTATTTATTTTTGAATTTTTCAATTACGAATAAGTATTTAAATTAAAATTTAATCGAGTAGTGTCTGAATTATTTAACTTCTTGTAGGTATTTGGGATAATAATTATTAATAGTTAATGATAGGTTTAAATATGATGGCTATGAGGATTATTTGAAAATAATTTTAGTACTCAATTAATATTAACATATATTAGTATTTAATATTAGAAAAAAGATTGTTTAAATTCAAAAAGTATTATTTACTAAATATATTCTATTTAAATTCAATATTTTATGTATAACTGTTATTAAAAATTATTATTTTTAACTGTTAGCACATACAATTTAATAATTCGGTAACTAACTAATATCGTTCATAAGTTGCTTTAGATATGTTAGTATTAAAAAAAAAAAAAAAAAATTGGTGCTTGATAGTTTATGTCGGTTTTTATTTAAAAAAAATTGATATCGTCACTGAACATTCTTTAAATGGTATAAAAATTTAAGTGGTATCTGAAAATATGGTCTTTAAGTATTTTAACTTGAAAATTTTAAGACTTAAAAAAATTATAATAAATGCATTATTAAAGGATAAAAAGGAAATTTTAGCATTTTTGGGTGAATTAACCTGTGCACATATAATTAATTTGATTAATGTGATCTGAAATTTGCATTACAAAAATCTTACAATTTACAACATGAAGAATCGATTACTTCGTAATGTATACAATTTACTATCTGACTAAAATTCTATAAATATACCTACGTATAGCTATTACGTTTTGGAATTAGTGTTTTATTTATTACTGCCGTAAATTCAAAAATACAGATAGTCAGACAGATTAATAAATAACAATGAAAACAACTTTGTAGGATTATGTTTTACATTGGTATATTATTTTTTGTTCATGAATGAAAAAGGGTGGAGTAGTATGATACATTTGCATAGCTCATAGGGTGTGAGAGTTGGTGTGTACATATATACTACGTAAAATATAGACGATATATAGATGGAAAATTTGTAAAAAAATACCTTTTTTGAATATGCGAAAAATAATAAATAGTAGCTTGCAGTATCAATTACTTGTATAAAACATGTATAAACATTTTACGGAATATTTACTTTGTTTCTTTCACCAATTTTATAGGCATACCTTATTGAAATAAAAATTTCCTGTTTTTTGTGGTTAATTATCATTAATTACATTTCTTTTATTTAAGCAAACATTTGAATTGCAATTTTTACAAACAATTACTTGTTTAAATTATTGCTATTAAAATACAATTAAATTACAGAACACTGTACCGTAGATTGGTGTTATATTATTATGAATTTTGTTTTTAAATGAGATGCGTAAAGACTTAATGTTTTTTTTTCTAATTAAAACTTGGATTATAATTTTATGTGTAAAGAGCTTTTAGTGTTGAAATCAACGTGTACTCACACAGTGATTATTTATATTATTAAATAATTAATTTATGTGTATTTTTTTCAATGTTTGCACTGTTTAACTAATTTTTATCTGAATACATTTATATTCTGGGAAATAAGATTTAATATATTTAATACCATTAGCAGAAAATATATGAAATCTAAATAATAATCGCAGACCATATTGTTATAATTGTTCATACATTTCGAAAAATTCAATTTAGATACATGGTGTTTGAATTAACTACCAATATTGCCAATATTACACCTAAAAGGCTTACAGCGTATTTTAAAATATAGAAATAGAACAAATACATATACATAAGTGTTTTTGGTATTTATAGGTATAACTGAATGTAGGTAAAAGCACTCAAACTAATTCGTAGTATTTATTTATTCAATTCATTAATGTTATTTATAATTTAGAAATTTGTGTTGTGCACACATTACATTTTTCAAAAAGGTCGTGGCATGTTATTTGCACATTTTAATGCCCATGAATTGGTAGACCGTTTGTATAAACATAAAATTTAAATCGTTATACAACACATTACATTATTATTTTATAAAGCTTTTTCGAATTTTCAAAACTCATTCATATTATAATATAAAGAAATGGTAACATAAGATTGAGAATAGTACGATTGAGGATGTTCGATTTATATTTTTTTCTCAAAATTATCATACTTTATAACTTTTATCGATTAAATATGATATTTGGTGCTGATCCAGACAAATGGTAAAAATCAATTTCGAAATGCATGTAAAAAGTTTGATAATCTAGAAGAGTGGCTTAAATTGTTTTTGTCTATACTTTTTAGGTCATTATGGAGAAGTTGAAAAAACATTTTTATAGATAATGTGTTACAGTAAAAAAAGGTAAAAAAAATTAATTACCAAAGAAATAAAAAAACAACATTTTCACGTCAAGACATAATTTATATTGGCAAAAAAAACATTCCAAAAAAGTTAATTTGTAGGTACTATTGATGAGGGGAGTGGGTTGCTAGACCTGTCTTAGTGACTTACTTGTATTTTTTCATTTTATGTTTAGGAGAAAGATAATATTGTCGGACGAATTTAAAACCTCAGCTCAGATGTTCACGTATATGATAATCGTAAATATGTTTTCAAAGATCTTTATACTTAAAATTGTTTTTATCTTTATTTTTAAAATGTTTACTCGGTTGGAAATACGTTTTTCTAGTCGCATAATAATGTTTGAATTTTTAATGGGAAGGAGGTATTAAGTAGTTTATAATAATCACTTGAATATGAAAGGGATATGTCACCTAAAAAAAAATTATAATGGAGGGGGTATGACCAATACTCTTCTCCCTTGTATGCATGCCGCTGATTAAAAAACACCAAACGGCCATTGGCGTATCTAGGAGGGAGGCGCACAAGGGATTTGTGTACTCTCGAAAATAAAAAGATTTTTCTACTAAAATTTAACTATTTTGAAATAAATATTATCATTAATTAAAATATTTTGGACTAAAATATTAATTGAGAAAAATAAGTACCTATCTATTATGTTTTCAGTTATTATATTAAATATCGAAAGGGATACAACAAGTAACTTGAAAAGTGAAAATTTTTAAATAAATATAATTTGCATTAAACATAAACCATGTTAATATAGTTTTGTTCGTTTTATTTTGGTGATTTGAATTGTATTAACGCTTTAAATTGTGTGCACCCCCAACATTTTTGGCGTTGTTGCGTTTATGCTAACAACCTAAAAGTACAATAATAATCGAAAAATGTATCAACCGATCACGAATCACGATAGACCGTTAGAGTTATCGCGTTATATTAATTCTAAAATATTTTTTGTCGGTAGAAATATATATATTATTATATCACCAATCGCGTGTGTTATACCGTTGTAAATAATAATTTTACGGATAAAAAAAAAAACCACACGTAAAAACGTTTTATGCGTTTCGTCCGGTGAACAAAAGTCCAATATTGTGGGTTATCGACGATTTTGATTATTTTTAGACGGTTGTGTAAAATATATTTTATATCGGAGCAAACGATGTTTCATACAATAATATTGGAGTCGATGTCATGTATCAGGAGTCATATATTTTTTTATGTCGTGTACGACGGCGGCGGCCGCGTCGCGGACCGGACACTGCAGCGCTGGTCGCTTACCTGACAGGTGAGCCGCGTCCGGTTCCGGCGGCTTTGGTTGACCGCGTTGATCAGGAACCAATTGAGCACGGCGAGCACCAGCAGCGGGACGCAAATGAACGTGACGATGCAAAACCAGTTATACGCCTTCTTGTAGATGTCGTTCCGGCCCAGTTCCGTGCTGCTCTTCTGGAACTTGCCGGTGGCCGCGTTGATGGCTATGTGCCACTCGTACGGCGTGGTGGCCGTGCACGCGATGCAGAACAGCGCCACGATCAGGATGACGCGCTTGGCCCGGGACTCGGTGCACAGCATGCGGCCGCGCAGAGGATGGCACACGGCTATGTACCGTTCGACGGTGAACGACACCGTCAACAGCACCGACGTGTTGCCTGCAAAGAATAATTCACGTGATATTCGGCGGCTCGAGAACATATTATAATTATTATTATTATTATGAGACGCCAGTCAATAGTTTTTTTACAGCGCATGTACCGATATAGTTAAAAAATCATGGCTACTATTGTATTCTCGACCAAAATTTGGGACTAAGAACATTTCAAAACTTTGATGATAAATCGTTATTTTACGCATAAATACCCGATTTCGTTAAAATTCAAATTCCAGGCGCTCATAAAAAATATTATGGATTTAAGCTCAATATATATATATATATATATATATTTTTTTTTTAATAGTACAAACCAAATACCTTGTATTTATTTTTCGAGATTTTTGATCCATAGAAAATTACAAAAATGGTTGTTAAAGAGAGTAAAATGAGTGAAAATATTTTAAAAGTCTTACTACAACGCATAGAAAACGCTATTATAAACAGTGGATGAAAATTTTAAGTACTTAAGGTTTTTCGTTTTTCTAAATTACACAATAAGGAAACAAAAAAAAAAAAAAACAAAATGGTTTTGTCGAATACTGATTCTATGTAAAAATTCTTGTGTTTGTTAACTTTTCATTTGTTTTTTTATCGGTTAAATTGAAAAGTACTAGAGATTTTTTCTTCACGAACCTCCCAAAGTATCAAATAGATCAAGTTTTCTCATAGAAACCACTTAAAAAAATTAAAATCCATGAACTTTTACTGCCCCGAGAGGCGGCGATAGATATAAAAAAAATCGCATTGTAAAATCAATTAATTTATCGTTCCACTAAGAATCTAAAATTATAGTTAGAGAATGCACACGATGAAGTGGTTAGTACTGTAATAGCATGTGTGCGTCTAACCTAATATATATTAAGCTTTATTTTGTTGGCAGCGTTAATGACACATATTATCCAAGTGAAAAAGTAGCTTAAATAGCTTTTGATTCTTAGTATAAGAGATTTAACTATTAATGTATTATAACTCAGTAATATAATTAAGGGTCTATTTAATATCAATTTAGAAAGTACAATTGTTTAAGCTGAATTAATAATTATCAAAGTATATTACAATGAAGCCAGGCTCTAGTAGAAGTTTGTGCATGTGGCAAGATCAAATAGTTTCAGAATTGTCATACAATTAATACCTTCAATACAAATTTATTAGATTTATTTTTTCTTATTATCTTTCTTAAAGCTAATATTTTTTTGTTTAATTAAAAAAAAAAAAAAAAAAAACTTAAATTTTGAACATTAAAAATAAAAAATAACTAAACATAGTTAACAAATAATATTTAAACTTTGTAGGTGTCAAAATGATAAAATAAAAAAAAACAATATTGAATTTTGTGATTTTTAAATGATTCTTTTTTAATACCTAGTATCTTTTCAGTAACTTAATTTAAATTTAATAATTATTTTCTTAGCTATAAAGTCCTTAGTAATAATATTGACCATGTTTTAATTTTTTCTTTACGTTTTGGTAATAATTTATAACTATTATGTTGAAATTCGTTATACATACTTTAGAAATAAAGATAAAATATAAAAATTATTAAGTTATTGATCTATGCTATTTTTTCAATAAGTATTCATTTTAGTATTTATTTTTTCCATGATATAGAAAGTAGATATATTAAATACTATTAATACTAATGATCATAAAATATTGAATAGCACTAGATTTATAAAAATGAATAGCGGCTTATTACATCATTTATCTTAATGATTTTATCTTCTTTAGTTCAACACTATTTATCAAATGTTATATGTGTAATCAATTTAGTAAAGAAGATCATTTAGTATGATAAGTGTTGAGAGTTTAAATTATCTTTACTAAGAAAAATATAACTGTGGCTTAGATTATTACATCTATATTGATTTATACAATTCAAAGTACATCACGATTCAAACCTCGGCTACTTCAGGACATTCTACTAAATCCCAATGAAGACACCTCAACCTCAGATTCTAATCCAGAATCATAGCTAACCAAAACTATTATACATTATATAATATTATAATCTATAATCTGTAAAATAGTAACATTGTAAAAATATTTGGTGTATTGACACAATTATATTAATAAAAAAAAAAGTACATCACGTTTAATAAAAAAAAAAAAAAAAAAAATAATAATACGCTTTAATTTATTTCATTAAATAATTAATATTTTTTTGATACAACACTGCAGCTGTGTATATAATTTAGTGAAAAATAATTATATATTTAATACAAGTGATAACTATAATTACCATTAATACACCAAAAATAGTATATACTTCCTTTATACTTGTAACTTTTCCGACTCCAAGTTACGTAATTATTAACAAATCAAAACATAAAGGTTTGTTAATTAAAAACAATCATTAACCTTAAAAGTCTTAATATCTTTACTGTAATACCATCAAAGCTATAAAAATATCATCTTTAAAATTATTTATGATTTGACAAAAATCAGGTTTTTAAAATATTTTCATTACAAGAAACAGTTAAAAGTTATAGAAAAAATATTCTTATCGTATGTTTATGTTGATTCTTCAATATTATGAGATAGTTTGTCATTAATATGTTTTTGTTAAATAAATGTGAAAATATATTGAGTGAATTATTAATGACATGAATATAGTGTTATTGTTTACTTAAGTAAATTTTTAATCTGATTGTTTTAATTCCTATCAATGAGCTTTATAATTTAACTTACCATTTAAATATTGGACTATTATATTTATGTTAATATACTATATTAAAGATGATTGAGTTGTATACATTTAGAACAACTATGATATTTAACCCATGTAAGATTGTTAAATATTGAAATCATTAATCAATGTTAAAAATAAAAGAGGAAAGTAGATAACCACTCTTCTGTACAAATGTTGAGCGACCCTCGTCACTGGGTAAGTCATTTTAGTTAGATAGTGTAATATTAGTGTTCAATTTAAATTTAATGATAAATCATTGAATACGAAAAAAAATTCTAAGCAAAAACGGTCAACCTATATTTTTTGATATTGCTATTAAATTAATTTATATGACTGTTAATATAAAAATATTTCTGTTAAAAAAACATTGCATATACTTTAATATATTATATATTTATTATTTATATAAAATAAACATTATTATAAGTCATATTTATAAGGTAGTACGGTCGATATTCTGTTTTTTATGGATCAAATTAATATTTTAATACAGTTTACTGTGATGACACACTGAAAGAGACTAGTCCATAATCTTAGATCTTATGTATAAAATAATTTCAAGCACAATGCGAACATTAGAATTTTTGTTTATCGTTACACTTTTATTTTAGTATTGTACTGTATAGTACTAACTATAACAGCTGAGTGTATAGATTACAAATGATTTACTGAACACCTTCAAATATAAAAAGCACAGTAACTTTTTTCGTGCACTTTTACATCCTCATGAGATTTTACACTGTTGAGAAGAGATTAATTTTTTTACAAAAGTAATTATTATAAATTATCAAAAATGTATGCGTTATTTAAGTATCTTTTGATATATTGGTGATGTCGTGCTCGAATTGTATTATGTGCACTCGCAAGATAACCAACATTGAATCTAGAAAATGTTACTTGGGGTATTAATTTTTTGCTGTGCTATATTAAATAATGGACCTATTATTTAGTATACATCTATACGAAACACCTCGCTGTTTAGTTCATATTTACACAACAAACAATAATTTAACTAAGCATTATTCTGTAGAGGAGATTCAAATAACCCTTTCACTGCTATGGACGTATCATTATTTCGTGCGCAAATATGCCGTTGAATTGTTTTCTACTGCAATCATAGTCCGTAAATAACATATAATGGATGTAGTACGTAATATTATATTCCCTTGTTTCATACAAAAAATTAGCTTGGTGATTATATTAAGAAATATAGAAAAAAAAAATTGACGAATTTAATAGTAAAAAAAAGTTTCTATGTTTATTTTGGTAGTATTTTAACTTATTATCATGGTTAATGCTGATTTTTACTTTTCAATAATTACAATAATATGTATTCTATTCTATGGTTTCATTTAATCAGTTAATATTTAATAGTATTGAAAGTAAATACTGTTTAATATGAAGTCCTTCTACATTTAATTTATATGTAGGTTTGAAATATATTTTTATAAAATGTTGTCTATCTGATGACGACGTATTACAATATTGAATGCGACTTTAATTGATAATTGATTCAGATGATAAGTTTATTAATACAATTTAATTATTTAAATAAAATAACTACAAAAAGTTGATACTTACGTATTTCTTTTTTTAGTTTTTTTATTATTTCAAAAATACTTTGATTTTTGGTCATTTGCCTTCATAAATTTACTTATGATTCTTAAGTAATAGTATTGAATACATAAAATAAATGTATACAATTGTACTAAAATAGTTTTGTAAAAATTTATCAATGCAATCTATTGTTAATTTTGCTGAGCCTTATTCTGAAGAGAAAATTAAAATTTAACTAAAACCATTACAAAAAAAACTCATGATATAACAGAAAATGTATATCCTTTAACTTTACCAATATACATACTTATATTTAGGAGAATGCTTCGATACGATACCCAAAATCAGAAACACATCAAATTATAAAAGATTATAAAAAAAATTAAAATTATATAATTATGTAATTGTATAAATAAATGAAAAAAAAGTTATTAACTAATTAAAACAATTATTAACTTACAGAATAATAAGTTAAAAAAAAAAAAAAAAAA